GCAGCATAGAAAGCAAAAACAGTAAACGCCTACTCAGGAAGAACTGATGGGGGGGGGGGGAAATGACCAGAGCATAAGGGAACATGTAGAACAAAGCACACTACTCAATGGCAGCTTGCTGACACATAGATGGCAAAACAAGAAGCCTCTTCCTGGGGCAGACCACAGGTCATCTACTGGAGTGTACATCCCTCATCTATCTGGTCTCATTCCAATAATCAGAGACCTTTGGAAATTCAAACCTCATGTTGTCTGTGGCCCTTGGAATTCAGAGGTCCCCATCCCCCTGCCAGAAGTACAAGCTGGGTTTCGAAGAGGTAGAGGAACTAGAGATCAAACTGCCAACATTCGCTGGATTATGGAGAAAGCAAGAGAGTACCAGAAAAACATCTACTTCTGCTTCATTGACTATGCTAAAGCCTTTGACTGTGTGGATCACAACAAACTATGGCAGGTCCTTAAAGAGATGGGAGTACCAGACCACCTCACATGTCTCTTGAGAAACCTGTATAAGGGCCAAGAAGCGACAGTTAGAACCGGATATGGAACAACTGATTGGTTCAGCATAGGAAAAGGAGTACGACAAGGATGTATACTGTCACCTTGCTTATTTAATATATATGCAGAGTACATCATGCAAAATGCTGGCCTGGATGAATCACAAGCCAGAATTGAGATTGCTGGGGAAAAGATCAACAACCTCAGATATGCAGACGACACCACTCTAATGGCAGAAAGTGAAGAGGACCTAAAGAGCCTCTTGCTCAGGGTAAAAGAGGAGAGCGCAAAAGTGGGCTTGAAGCTCAACATAAAAAAAACTAAGATCATGGCATCCGGCCCCATCACTCCTTGGCAAATAGAAGGGGAAGTCGTGGAAGTAGTGACAGACTTCACGTTCCTGGGATCCCAGATCACCGCAGACTGTGACTGCAGCCATGAAATTAAAAGACGCCTGCTCCTTGGGAGGAAAGCGATGGCGAACCTAAACAGCATGATAAAAAGTAGAGACATCTTGAGAGTCCCTTGGACTGCCAGAAGATCAAATCAGTCAATCCTAAAATAAATCAACCCTGACTGTTCCCTGGAAGGCCAGATAATGAAACTGAAGCTCAAATACTTTGGCCACCAAATGAGAAGGGAGCACTCACTGGAGAAGACCCTGATGCTGGGAAAGACTGAAGGTCAAAGAAGACGGGGACGGCAAAGGATGAGATGGTTAGACAGTGTCATAGATGCAACGAACATGAAATTGAGCAAACTTCAGAGGACTGCGGAAGACAGGAAGGCCTGGCGTGATCTGGTCCATGGAGTCTCGAAGAGTCGGACTCGACTGTGCAACTGAACAACAACATCCCCCTGTACATGGAGATCCAACCTGTTGTGGTTACCACTCCTTTGCCTTTTTTTCTTTTCTAAAAACCTGCCACGCTAACAGTTATCACTGCATCTTGTATAAATTACGCTAACGAGTTGCGGCGGTGGATTACGTTACATGAACTACCGCCTTTAAGAAAACTTCCTCGCCTTCGGCCACGCTCGCCTAAATGGATAGAGCAGCCGTCCAATCACGAGCAGGACGGAGCGAGGAGAATTGTCCTGTTTCGGAGAGGCGCATAAGTGCGCCACCCTTTCGTCCACACGTCGAGGCTGTTGACATTGCGTGTGCCTCCCCCAGAGGATGGCGTTTCTCCGAGGCGTTTCTCCTTTCACTTTTGTCAGGCTGCCGACAGCGAGCTGGCCTGGAAGCAACATGCGGCGGCCGCTGCTGCTCGTCGTCTCCCTTCTCGCCTTGCTCCCTGTAAGTACAGCTCTGGGTGGGCACTGCAGCCGTGTTGGTCTGAAGCAATAAGAACCAAGTTAGAGTCCAGCGGCACCTTTAAGACTGACCAAGATTTATTCAAGGTGTGAGCGTTCGTGTGCAAACTCTGTTGGTCTTAAAGGAGCCCCTGGACTCTAACTTTGTTCCCTGCAAGTATGTTGCTTTCCATGGCCCCTTCCGGCCGTCTCACTCATATTCAGGGACGTCCCTTTCCCGGCGCTTCCGTTTCCAAGGCGCTGTGGAGGGAGAGGAGAGAAATGCCAGACAATTAAAGGCTGTCAACTCAAACCGTTGGTTGATCTCTCCGGGGGTGCTTGTCAGGACATGGGAAACGAATGCAGAAACAAGAATTCTGAAAAAGGTGTCCTGTCCAGGAAGAGGAGACGGTCAGAATCTTTGTCATCAGGAAAACCTCTTTTGGCTTTGGAAAACTAACTGATCAGATGCAACCGCTGAAGGAAATACCTCAAGTCTGGTGCTTGCAAATAACGACAGCGATTGTTTTTTCTCATGACCGCGGGGCTTGGGGGGAAAGCTGGACTCTTAGCCGTTCGTATGAACGTGATGCTAAGTGTGGAGCTGCTTTTTTTAAAGAATGGACATTCAGGCACTAGTTGGAGTGAGGCAAGCTTTTCAGCTATATTCTGTCCCACTCAAGCCTCTCTTTACCAGACGGGTCAAGAGGCTCTTACTTGAAGTAACGGTTGATTGATTATCAAAACTAGTCATTTTGATTTTTTTTTTTAAAAAATGTTACTTTGCAGATTTAGCTCAGGGAAATTCCAAGAAGTCACCTTACACATCTGCTGTTGAAATCAGAGCAGGAAGAAAGTACCTATGACTAATGGTAAACTGAAAGTATTCATATCCCTTAGCAAGATCACATGATCTTTGGACAGAATGGTGTTTTTGTTTTGTTTTGTTTTTTAAATTTTAATTTCAAAAAATTAAAAATATGAAAAGTTGCATGCATGGAAATAAACTAGCACACCAGAGAGAAAGTCTTTCCAATATGCTAGTTTTTTCCATACATGGAGTTTTTCCATATGGGAAACATTTCAAAATGCAGTCTTGCACTTGAAGTTTGAAAGGCTGGAAGGGCTTAATTCTTGGACATACTTCATTTATACCCCACCTTTTCCCCAATGGGGACCCAAAACAGGTTACATGGGTCTCCTCCCATTTTATCTTCACAACAGCCCTGTAAAGTTAGGCTGAGAATGTGTGACTGGCCACTGCCCCCTATAGATGGTGGACTGGCTAGGGGTTGGTGGACTGGCCCAAAGTCAGCCAGCAAGCTTCCATGGCAGAATGGAGTGGAGATTCAAACTCAGGTCTCCCAAATTGTAGTCTGACATTCTAAGTGATATATAAATTGCCAATTTTTTCAGATGTCGAAAAGTGTCCTCCAGTGATGGGAGGGGGTGGTGGAATGTTGGCTGTGGGAGACTATAAGGCAAGAAAAGTATGAGGAAAAGTTATATTATAGATGCTCCATTACCACTGTAAATTATGGCAATAAAAGCAATGTGGAGAAGTGGCGAATCGTTACCATGTGGAAGCAGCCTAGAACATTGTTCTCAGTTGCTTCATATTCTAGAACACACTTTGTAATTGATGTGCTGGTAAAGACATGTACTTTGGGAGGTAAATTAGAAAATATCACATGGTGGGGAGGGGAATCCACTGAGTTTTCTCAGTAAGTTGTGAATTTTTCAGTACTATAGTTAAAGGTTTATAAGAACAAGCTTGTTTACAGGAAATGTGCTGGAAAATTAAGTAACAAACTGCAGTGTGTGCATGCATTGTTGTAAATGCAGTCATTTCCTTCTTGTATTAAGAAGCTGAATTGGGTAGAGGATTTTGTTGTTGTTGTTATTGTTATGGTAAGCTTTTTGCACAATAACACTGATAGTTGACTGATGAGAGGCTTTGCTACAGTTTCTGCCGCTTGTTTTGTCAGCTGGCTATAATCCTTAGTGTCAGCACGTAAGGAAAGGCTAAGAGACCTGTGGTGGGGCCATGTGCCCAGTGGGTATTCCCAGCCTGTTCCCTCAGTATTCAGATTTCCTTTAAAAAGTAAGAAAAATATTTAGCCCTTGGCAAAAGCGTAGAGGCTGTATTCTCCCTAATTGCTCCAAGCTATTCAGCAAGCCCAAGAAATCAGAGGAATATCACTTCTTAGTTTTTATTGGGTTTTGTTTCGCCTTTTTTTTACTGGCCTTAACTGCATTTGGAAAACAGAAGGCTATTTGTATATTTTCAAGATTAAAATGATATATATCGAGGGCCTGACCCAGCTCTGATTGTGTTCCCTTTTCTGTAAACGGACCTGAATGCTCATCTACATCAGGTTTGTGTCCGTCATCTGCAGTAGCACACAGACAAGCTTTCCAATCTCTCTCTGCATCCTGATGATATTGTGGTTCTCCCTTCCTGGGTACTTTGCCTGGACATACAATTGAACAAAGTTTGAGTCCAGTGGCATCTTTAAGACCAACAAAATTTTATTCAAGGTGGTTTTTTTGTCTGAAGTGTGCTTTGCACATGAAAGCTTATATCTGGAATAAAACTTTGTTGGTTTTAAAGGTGACACTGGACCGAAACTTTGTTATGCTGCTTCAGACCAACACGGCTACCCCACCTGAATTTTTGGACATACATTTGCACATGGTGTCAAGGGGAAGGGCAGAAATGTGCTCTGTCATACCGTATTTTGTAAAGGAGTGTTCTTCCTCTGGCCTACTATTTCAGTAGAAACTTGCTGCAAGGCCTGTAATCCTTAATTTGTCGCAGACAGCCTTCATATCTTGACAACCATTCATAAATTTCTCTTCTTCTGTAAAATGCCAGTAAGATGGTAACCATGAAGGGAACACGCTGCTGCCGCCCCCACTTTGCAGCTGCAGATTTTGGAATAGACTTACTCATCTGTTTATTTATAGTAAAGAGGTATATGTCTCTGCCACACTGGGGACATTCAGCAAGGTTTATGATACATATAAAATACCGAACTGAATAACATTTATTCATTTATCCCCCTTTTTTCTTCCCAGTGGGGGGACCCAAAGAAGCTTGTATCATTCTCCTCTCCTCAGTTTTATCCTCACAAAGACTTGGTGAAGTAGGTTAGGCTGAGAGTGTGTGCCTGGCCCAAGGTCACTCAGCAAGCTTCCATAGCAGGGTGTGGGTTTGCACCTGAGTCTCCTAGATCCTAATGCGACATTCTTAGCCACTATGCCATATCTATAACTAATAGCAAAGGCGCCCCCTGCGTGCGGATATCTAAATCTGCACATCGGGGGCACCTGGGGGGCAGGGAGATTTTCCTGCACACTTGGGGCAGTCTCCAGGTATGCACAAAAATCTAAAAAGTTGAAAAAATATGGGGGGGGATATTTAAATCCCCGCCAAAAGTAAAAGAGCCTTCCCTGCGCATGCGCAGGGACCGCTCTAGGAACTCTGCGGCAGGCTGGCGGCTAGAAGCCACTCAGTCCTCGCTGCTGGAGCTAAGGTGGGGGGAGAGGAGGAGGAGACCGGCCGCCAGAGGGGGAGGGAAGGAGATCGGTGAGGGGGGAGATTGGTGGGGTCCAGCAGCTGGAAGCCGCTCAGGCCACGCCGCCGGTGTCTGGGGATGGGGGGGGAAGAGGGTTTACCTGCTGCTGTTGCCTCCTCCTCCTGATCTGCGTGGAGCTCTTCTCCCTCCCCCCTGTGAGTATTGCGGGTCCCCTTGTATATATGTGTGTGTGTGTGTGTTGTTAAACAGTGAGAAAAATAGTATCAGTAAAAAATGAACATAGATTGAGGTGGGGTAGCCATGTTGGTCTGGAGCAATAGAACCAAGTTTGAGTCCAGTGGCACCTTTAAAACCAACAAAGTTTAAGTCTGGGTATAAGCTTTTATGTGCATGTGCACTACTTTGGATACATTGAAACAAGCCTTCCTCAGCCATTTCATGTAGTTGGGGGGGGGTAGTTGCCAGGAAGGGCTAGTTAGAGTTAAGATGCATAAGTAACTGAGCAATGCAGTTGGTAAGTCCTGTGGATAGCAGCAAATTAGCATACAGATAATGAGTTAAGCACAGATATGAGAACTGAGTTTGAGTCCAGTGGCACCTTTAAAACCAACAAAGTTTAATTCTAGGTATGTGAGAACTGAGTGACTTAGCATGTGTAGTGAGATAAGAACCCAATATCTCTGTTAAGCCCTGGGGGTTCCATTGTCCTGAGTGTTGTAATAACTTGTAATTCAGCAATCTCCCATTTCAGTCTGTTTCTGAAATTCCTTTGCAATAAAATATCTACTTTGAGGTCTCCTACTGAGCGCCCTGGGAGGTTGAAATGTTTTATAGGTTTCTCAGTTTTGCAATTCTTGATGTCAGATTTGTGTCTATTTATCCTTCGTAACATGAATAAGCAACACACATTAGCATTCAGTATGTTACACTCTTTTTCTCTCCTTCCCCCTCCACAGGCACTTGAATTGATTGCTGCTGGACCAAGTCGTGTCAATGATTCTGATCCTGTGATACACAGAGTGCATAATAAATTTTCTGAAGTGAAAAATATTTCTAAACGGGATGTTGTATGTCCATCGGGCAAGCACCGATCAGGAGATACCTGCTGCGACCTTTGTGAGCCTGGTAGGTATTATTGTAAGTTAGCAGAAGTGGTGAGCAGAGATAGTGTAGAGCTGGGTTAGAAGAGCTGGGATGCGGGTTCGTTGGGGACCTCTGGTGGGAGGTGGCCCGGGTTCGCCAGGGCTCTGTCATCCTTCTCGCTCTACCTGTGGCTGCTGGCAGGCAGCCTCCAAGGTCAGGCTTGGCAGAGAGGAGTGGCATGGAGAAGCCCGCAGCTTCCGCCGGGAGCAGAAGGAAAGCACCGCCAGCAGGGATCCGAGCAGCCAGCCTGCAGCAGGAAAAGAGGCTCAGGCACCACCCTTCCGTGTCTCCCGTCTCCCCCTCCGAGGGTCTCAGTCGTGCGAATTGTGGGGCGCCAGCGGGAGCTTGCTGGCCCAGCGGAAAGAGAGTGGTGGCAGCCACCCGTCAATCACTGGGAATCTGAAACAGCCCCGACTGCAAGAGTCCAGCAGTAATCGACCTTGAACCCTGCCACTGCTTTATGCAGTATTCCCGATCCTCCAGTTTTCCCAGTTAAGGGAATGCGGAGGATTTGGGGCTCCCTCGTGACACCTCGCTGGGGGGGGCGCCACAAGCTATCCTCGCCTAGTGCGCAAAAAACCCTCAATCCAGCTGCAGTCCCTGTCATCTCCAGTTAAAAGAACTAGTAGTAGGTGATATGTGAGACCTCCTCCAGAGATTCTGAAGAGCCACTTGCCAGTCTGAGTAGACAACAGTGACTGTAGGTACATCAGCTAGTATAGTGAATAAATGAAACACAGCTTGCTCTTACAAACGTTTTGGTGGAAAAGGTAAATGCTGTTGGTGAGTGGAGTAGTTTGCCCATCACCTTCAGCAGCTAGTAGATAGATGATAGTCCTAACAAGGCACTACAAGTTTCTTTCAGGCGGAAGAATTGCATGTTAGCCTGGGGGGTTGATTCAACAGCAGAGCAGCTGCTTTGCATCGGGGGATGCCAGTTTCAGTCTGGATTCAACAGCAGAGCAGCTGCTTTGCATAGGGGAGGGGATCCCAGTTTCAGTCTGAGGCATCCAGGGTTGCAGGTGGGATAGGTAGGAAAAAACCCGCACTGGTATAGTTGGCAAATTTCCTTGCCGTGACTATTGTGATGTTTTTGTTTGCACCCAGAAAGATACAGAGCTAAGGTGGGCTTGCAACTGGTAGCAAGCCTGTGAGAGCTATGGCCAGTTTATATAATTTATCGACAGGGCTTGCATAGTTTGAAGTGGGGGCTGTGCTCCTAATGGGTCTTGCCAATAAGACCCCTTTGGTGTCTTGAAAACTTCCAGCATCTTTTGCAAACCTCTTTGCTAGGAGCATTATACGTTGGATGTTCCCACCTAAAGGCAAACGTCTCAAGTCAGTGGTACTTAATATATAATTATGGCACGGTGTACAGTGCAAACCACATAACCTCAAATAATGAGCTACCCCGGATGCAAGCTTGGTTTGCTCCCTTAGAGATCTCAAGTGCAGGATATCCGGCTTCTGGCTTGGGTTGCTCCCTAAGAGATCACAGGTGCAAGACTGCTGGCTGCATTAGCCCTAACTTTAATTAATAGTAGTTATTAATTGACGATGACAGTAGCCATTTTGCACTAGGGCAATGGTACCATTTCACACGGCTGCCTATGAGAGAGGCTTTCTGCCTGGAGGTGTACTTTATGCATGGTTGGTTAGGCAGTAGCCCTCAACCATGGGATTTAGAATGGCAATAGATTTCAGTGCTTCTTTCACTCTGTCTCCTATATGTAATTTTTAAAGGATTAAGTTGTGCTTCCTAAGTGATCTAATGCCTAGCCTGGCTGACAAGGCCCCTAGCTTTGGTCAAATGGTAATGATAATATGATCAGCAGTTTTCCACATAATGAGCCAGTCAGGAGGAAGCGAGTGTGAGCTGAACTAATCTAGAGGGAGTGAACTCTCTAGGAGATCTCACCTGTGGCAGATCTGGCTGATGAGGCCTCTAGCTTTAAGTTAAATAATAATGATAATGAGCATGATAAAATAATTATCACGGTAACTGGCAAAATGCTGGCCTGGATGAATCACAAGCGGGAATTAAGATCAACAACCTCAGCTATGCAGACGATACCACTCTAATGGCAGAAAGTGAAGAGGATCTTAAGAGCCTCTTGCTCAGGGTGGCTTACAATTGGTGCTAGTCACACTAATTTTTCCCTAACTAGGGCCACAGAGTTGTATGGGGTAGGGTTACCTATCAGCACCCTTTGTGGTGGTGGTTTGAGATGTTCGTTCCTCGGCTTTCGGCACTTCACTCGGCTGGCATTCTGTTCGTCCCGGCGGGCTCCACGGTCCGGCGATAGTTCTTCCTATGGGGTGCACGACTCGCATCATCTGCTGGTCCCAGCCACGTCCTTCTGGCTCCGCTGCGCCAGCATCTGACGTCATCATCGTGCCCCGTCTCAGCAGCCGCCTGGATGCCCTCCTCTCTCCTGGCCACCAGGGATCGCCGTGTCGATCGCTGTAGCTTGCTGCCGCCACCATCTCGCCGCCGCCATCTCACCACGCCACCTCCGATCTCTGATCTCAGAGCCGATATCTCATCCGCCGCCGTTGCCGCCGCCAACCAAGACTTCACGTTCCTGGGATCCCAGATCACCGCAGACTGTGACAGCAGCCATGAATTTAAAAGATGCCTGCTCCTTGGGAGGAAAGCGATGGCAAATCTAAACAGCATGATAAAAAGTAAAGACATTACCCTGCCAACAAAAGTCCGCATGGTCAAAGCAATGGTATTCCCAGTAGTCATGTATGGCTGTGAGAGTTGGACTATAAGGAAGGCCGAGCGCCGAAGAATAGATTCTTTTGAACTATGGTGCTGGAGAAGACTCTTGAGAGTCCCTTGGACTGCAAGAAGATCAAATCAGTCAATCCTAAAAGAAATCAACCCTGACTGTTCCCTGGAAGGCCAGATCATGAAACTGAAGCTCAAATACTTTGGCCACCAAATGAGAAGGGAGCACTCACTGGAGAAGACCCTGATGCTGGGAAAGATTGAAGGTCAAAGAAGATGGGGCCGGCAAAGGATGAGATAGTTAGATCTATGATACTTAGATGCAACGAACATGAAATTGAGCCAACTTCAGAGGACGGCGGAAGACAGGAAGGCCTGGCGTGATCTGGTCCATGGGGTCGCAAAGAGTCGGACTCGACTGTGCGACTGAACAACAACAAAAAATCTGGCTAATCAGGGGGAATGAGTATGATGGCATCACTTGTGTTTTATTGGGCATGATTATGTATCCTTTCCTAGTCCGCTCTGCACACCTGTGCTTCTCTTCCAAACCAAATGCAAAGGGATCCATACGTGGAGCTGGGAAGCTTGCCTTAGGATGCATGCCTTAGAAAAGCAATCTTGGTAGAGAAGCGAGTCCCATTTGATTGTCCCTGCAGTTGACTGCCCGTGATGGTTTACAGCCAGAGCTACATTCAGGTGGGGTAGCCGTGTTGGTCTGAAGCAGCAGAAGAAAGTTTGAGTCCAGTGGCACCTTTAAGACCAACAAAGTTTTATTCAAGGTATAAGCTTTCGTATGCATGCACACTTCTTCAGATACGATGAAATGGAAATTACCAGTCCATACATATAGGTAGAGGTTAAGCAGTAAATTAGCATACAGCATAATGAAGATGTTTAACAGATTCAAAGACCAAACAGGAATAACAAGCTTAGTTTATATGGCTACCATTTGTTTGGGTTTAATTCCAGGGGAAACCATAGTGAAGGAAATAAATATGTCAGAATTGGAGCAGATGTATCTTTACTTGTGGAATCCTGAGAGTAATTAACTGAGACCCTGCCATTACGCTCCACCTCCTCGCAAGCCAGAGCTACCGTTTCGGCGTGACTTGTATGTCTGTACATCAGGCTGCGAAGGAAATATCTTCTTTTTGTATTTTGTGATGCAAAGGAGAGAATTTTCTTGAATCTTTTCTTGACTCTTGGGAGTCATGCATATTACAGATCTTATTTTTTTTTAAATTCTCCCATTGTTCATAATCTGTGCAGCTGTCCAGTGGAAACTGGGGGGGGTTGATGCCAGTCCCTGCTTAACCTCTGCTTGACTGTTTATCAGATCTACCATAGATCAGTTTCCATATTAACAAGAGGGACCTCACTGCAGTTTCAGTGTGACTGTGAAGTCTGCATCTCAAGCTAACGGGAAAGGAAATATCTTCCTTTTTCTGTTTGGTAGCACACAGGTGTGCATTTGCTTGAATCTTTTCTTTTCTGGAAATCTTGGGACTTTAAGTTGCTGCCTCAAACAGAAAAGGAATAGCTGCTATGTTTGCTGCTAGCCACAAAGCAGCCTCTCCACTGGAAGCACAAGCTCAAGCCCGGCCCCCTCCCAGTGAACAACTTAGCGCTTCCAAGGGGAAGGGTTGATTAGGAAAAGAATTTTGAGCCTTTCTTGATTTCTCGAGTCTTGTAGATGGTTTGTTTTCTGTCCAGGTGGAAAAGTTGCTCTGCAGAGTCAAGCAAGAAGAGGACCCAGAGACTCCCTGCCCTTCAGAGCAGACTCAATAGACTTCTGGGAGTCTGGCATGGAGTGGCTGCAAGTGTTGCCACACTGGATTTGGGGGCCTTCTGTGGTTTACAGGGACTATCACAGAGCTTGGCGGAGACATTTTAGCAAAGACAGGGTGTACCAATCTTGCCTGGATTGAGGGATCAGGTATAACACCTTGCTGATTTGGCTGGCAGGATCCTGTGTGGATGAGGGCCACAAGGCTTTCTGGGGGGATCTACAGCATGGCCTCAATCGGGGGCCAGTGGGGTGGGTAGACCAAGAAGTGAGCTGCTTTCCCCTTATGGCAGTGTGGATCAAGTTGCTTGAATTGTATGCAGTACAGCTTAGTTGAGCACCCTGGGGCATCATTTGGATGGTGAAGGCCTCAGAGCAGGCCTTGGATCTCACTGCCTTCGGGGACCTGGGACAGAAAGCCCTTGAGTGGTGTCATTATCTTCAGCTCATAGACCCTGTGGCTTAGGGGGATGGGAAGTGACACACCTCCCTCAAGCATCATGAAGGGCTTGGCAAGGAGGAGCAAGGAGGAAAAGTCCGCTTCCCCTTGCACTCAAAATAAATCCACGTTTGATTAATCAAAGTCAGGTTTATTATAAGGCGAAGGTAAGATCAGGAACACATGAATTGTTAGGAATGTCTACAAGCCTCCAGGGATAACATAATAAAGAAACTTGAACCAGGTTAGAGCCAATGAGCCCAGTTCCCGCTGGCGGGAAGGTGCATAAAACGAGCGCCTAAACTCCTGGGAACACAACGCTTCTATAACATAAACACCAGCCTAGTTCCCATGCAGTGGATACACAATACGCCAAGCTATGCCATCCTCCCTTACAACCTCCAGATGAGTGACCTTGAGCAGTTCCGCAGAAGCAGCTAGCAAGCAGCCTAAGTGAATACCTTCACACGGGTGGGGGGGGTGGAAAAGGCAGGAGACAAGGTGCAAGAAACAACACAGCACTCTATGGCAGCTTGCTGACATACTGCCCGCCTGAAAATACACATTACCCCCCACCTCCCAGGGAGGGCGGGAGACCTCCCGGTTTACCTGGGAACATTTTGTGGAACTCCTTGAGCAAATAAGGGTCCCGAATATCCCCTTCTTCCACCCATTCTTGATGCTGGGGTCCGAAGTCCACCCATTCAATAAGGTAAAACAGTTTACCACGCTTCAATTTGGAATCAAGGATGTGAGCAATCTCAAAATGTTCTTCCCCGTCCACCATGACCGGAGGAGGGGAGACCTGCGCGGGTCCCCAAGGGGATGGGGAAGAGGCCTTTTTCAAAAGGCTCATGTGAAACACGGGGTGCAGGGAACGAAGGTTCTTTGGACTCAAACGTTGAACTTTATAGTACAGGAGAACAATTTATGTCTGTCTGTCTGCCTCTCTATATATAGACGGATATCTATTTATCCCCACCAGCATTTGGGTACATTCTTTCTAGAGTAAGAATGATTTAGGAAATCTGGTATGTCCAATGGGATCATATAATACTGACCCCCTCTTATCCTTTAACTTTATTTGCAGGTTATGTTAAAGACAAAAATTGTACAACATCCACTAAAACAATCTGTAAAAAATGCAAGGAAGGAAAAGAGTACATGGATGATTACAATTACCTCTCCAAATGCATACGGTGCAGCTTTTGTGACCCAGAGCATGGTATGTTTGAAAGTGATCTTTTTTATTACAACATCAGGTACAGGGGGAAACATTTTAAGTGCATTTCATTGCAGGATGCTTAAGGCATGGATGGTCAGTCTGCAACAGGGTGTCGTAAACTGTACAGAGAACAGAAGTCTGTGATGTACCTGAGCTTGGGCGGGACAGTCCATGAGTGTTGCTATGGCACAGAGTCAGGCCTGCACTTCTGCTTGCCTCCGTGGCATTGTGCTGCTGCCCTTTCCCAGTACGCTAAAGGCAAAACCATCTCCAAGGCATGGAAAGCCCGTATGGACTGTAGTGTGCACTAATGACACGATCTCACTTCAGAGAAACGGTGGTGTTCTTGCACTGTTTCAAAGACATTGTTATCTTACAGTTCAAGGTAGGGAGGAACTAATATTTTTATGCATGCCCGAGGAATCCCTTGAGTATGCAGAAACCAGTGTTTCATGTGTGGGTAACCACATTTTATTGCCTTAGTGATAGGAATTTTGCCATCAAGTTTGTTATTAGAAGTGACACACATGCAGAGAGTGAGAAAGAAAGAGATACATGGGTATTGTAATGAACTTAGCATTTACTTGAATTCCTTATGCCAAAGATTGTGATCGCAGAGGCAGGCAATGGCAAATCACCTCTGAATGCCTACAGGGCCACCTTAAGTCAGCTGCAACTTGACTACTACTACTACAAAAAAAAGATATTCAAAGGCTCTTAATTGTTGGGAAATGGTTTTGTTCTGGTGCCAATCAGACCTGGAAGAGATTGCCTTTCCATCTAGCTGGAAGGAGGGGACAGATGGGTGTGGAGTGAAAAGAAAGAGGAACATTTGGAGGTTGACAAGGCACAGACACAGAAGGAGACAGCTTGCTACTGCTGGATTGGGCAAAAACCCCTGGAGGGTGCAAGATCTCTTTCTCTCTCTCTGGGGGATCTGATGTGAGGTAATGAATCAGCTGCCCTGTAGGAGTGCCTCTTTGCCTCCACCTGTGCTCCACCTGTATAGTAGTACATTAAATAACCACACCATAAGCTCTACAACCTCTCTTATTCAGGTTACAGGTAAATCAGGACAGCACATTCGCCACTCTTCTTGTCTCTTTTGAAGTCTAGAGAGAGTCATAATGATCTTGCACCTCAGGTCGTCTCTCTCACTCCCAGAGACCTCCACAGACAGGGTAGGCCCAGCCCCCTTTAATAGTCAGCCCTCCCTCACACAGAGCTATTGGGGTTGGAGCTCAAACACTGTTTCAGTCAGGTGCTGCCATCATTCGTTCATATCCTATAATATATGTATGTAGACCGAGATATTAAATTGTGTGTGCGAGCTTCTTTCCCTTAGGCACGCAGCCCACAGGGTTAACCAAAACAAGACACTTTTATTTATAAGAACTGAGGAAAGTAAAGTCAATTATTTATAAGAACAGAACACTGAGGAAAATAAAGTCAAAGAAATGACGTTTCAGTTCCATTGAACTTTTAAACTGAGGTCCTATACCTACAACTGGAATACTTTAGTTACAGATTTACTATTTTCAGCCTGTTCCAAGCAGCTGTGCTATAGAGTTCCCCACAGTCAGGAAAAACCCTTTTCACCTCATCCTTTAAGTTGTCAGCTTCTCTCTGCTGCTAAGTGCCCCCCCCCACTCTGTTTTTCAAATCTCCCTCTCAACCTTCCATCAGCTCTCTCTGGCTGCTCAAAGAGAGAGGCTGAACCACTGGAACTGTTAATAAGTCACATAAACTGTGGGAGCCTCTGTAGAAGGTCAGGGGTTTACATTCTGCTTGGTAAAATAACCTTCCTTCCCAATTCTGGTTAGCAAGAGAGATTTTTAGCAGTTGAATATGGATGAAGTTAATCTCACCCAATTTTCTCCCAGTGTTTTAGAGTTATAAATAATATGGTATTTTTTCCAAAATGGAGTTAATGCACCAGGTTCTATGTCTTGTTTTCATTTTTTGTAAATAGCTATGAGTATTCCTTTCGGCTTTGGCCCAGTCACTTCACTCTTTCTGGGGTTACTTGTACTTGCCCTCTGCTCTTCCCCAGTAGCACATTGGACACCTTCCAGCCTGAGGGGCTCATCTTCTGGCGTCATAATTCTGGCACAGCTGTTGTTGAAAAAGAGCAGTTTCTGTCAGAGTTCTCTTAGCCCCACCTACCTCACAGAGGGTGTCTGTTGTGGGGAGGGGAAGGGAAAGGAGTTGGTAAGCCATTCTGAGACTCCTTTGGGTAGTGAAGGGCGGGGTATAAATCCAATCTCTTCTTCTTCTTTTAGCCTTTTGTTACTGTCCATAGGGTTTTTTTTGGCAAAGACACTGGAGTGGGTTGCCATTTCCTTCTCCAGTGGAGAAAGAGCCTCTTGCTAAGGGTGAAAGAGCAGAGTGCAAAAGTTGGCTTGAAATTCAACATCAAAAAAACTAAGATCATGGCATCCGGCCCCATCACTCCTTGGCAAGTAGAAGGGGAAGTTGTGGAAGCAGTGACAGATTTCACGTTCCTGGGATCACTGCAGACAGTGACTGCTTCATGAAATTAAAAGACGCCTGCTCCTTGGGAGGAAAGCGATGGGAAACCTAGGCAGCATAATAAAAAGTAGAGACATCACCCTGCCAACAAAAGTTCATATGGTCAAAGCATCTTATTATTTATTGGAAATAAGGACAATTGTGGCAAACATACAAAACCCTACATACTCAAGCAGAGCACAGTGTGCACGGTCTACAGAAAGTCAAACATGCTACCATCTCTTTGCCATCAGTGAGATATGAGACACTGTCCGAGTCTCTCTGGTTTCAGTGAGACCTGAGGATATCCTGGCTTTCCTGAGGTGTGTCAGATGCTTCTGAGCCTTCAGAACCTACCCAAGAGAAGTAGCCAAGTCCTTTCTAAAAGAATAATCTGATAAAACACTTCAATTTATTTTAGGTTTCGAAGTGGACAAGCCCTGTAACAGTTCCCAGAATGTAAAATGCAGGTGCAGGCATGGCTTTTTTTGCAATTCCTCGGAACCATGCCGTCACTGTGATCCATGTTCAAAGTAAGTTGCCTGTACAGTTTCTGAAGACGAAGGATTATGGGGGATGCAGGAGAGCGGAGCTTACTGTAGCCATCCCCTCGAGGCACTGCTGCCCCACTGACTCCCCATAAGAGGCCTCAGCTAGGGAGGGGAGGTAGGTTTGCTCTGCCTAGGCACTTTTCCTCCCCCCCCCACTCTGTCTCAGACAGCTTTTCCACATTCTCGTTTTCCTTTCTTGAGTGTTCCTGTTACTTTAGGGTTCCCCCACCCCCCCGTTCCACATGAGTTTTGCTCTCTCCAGTAGTAGATTCAATATTACATCCCTTTATGTCCAGCATAAACTGCAGTTTAAATTTGCAGGGAGATATGCCAGGAATAAAGCGATATGATATCGAATCCACCACTAGAGGGAATACAACACATGTGGAACAGAAGCAAAACCCCAAAGCAGCAGGGACCACACAAGCGAGCAAAATGAGAATGCGGGAACAGCCCAGAATCTAACGGGGGGGGGTCTTCCTTGTACCGGACAGCCTCTGGATCCCTCCACCCCTGTTCTGGGTCCTGTAAGTCCTCTGGATCTAGATCTCAAAGGAGCCTCATTTCCGTGGTGACAAGTTCAGAGGCATCTAGCATTGGACTAGACGACCTCTTAAGGATGGCCCAGAAGGTTGGCTTCTGCCAGCAGCTGTCACACATCAGGGGTGTGTCCTTCCATCCGGGAACCTCCAGAAATGCCATGATGGGGGAAACCGGAAGTTTGCAACAGGAGGGGGTATGGGTGAGAATTGCCTCCCCCTCCCATTAGCAGTTATTTTCCATGGGATCCACCACAATGTTTATTCTTTATGGGAATATCATTAGCTGAATAAATACTAGAGGAAGAATAAGCACTATATGGAGTGGACGGTGTTCACCAATCTTCATTTCCTGGTTGGGAAGAGAGATTTGGGGTTGAAAAATGTGTACTCATTTCCAAACACCAGGTGGCGTACTTATGGCTATAGATGCCAGTCTGCCTGGTACCACAGAGAATCTGAGCTAGAGTCTGAACTGCAGGTCAGCCGTGTATGCATTTATTTGCAATCTGTTTATGCGGCCTTAGGAATAACTGCTCACAAAGTAGCTCACAAATAGCCAGCAAGAGAACAGAAACACGTTATGAAAAGTTCAAAATTCAGACCTGTTATCTAAGAAACATTGCTATGGAGAAGAATAAAGACTTTAAGAGACTTTCTAGTGCAGACAGCTCAGAGAAAAAAGAAAACATCTCTAACCACAGGCAAAGGATGAAGGAAAGGGAGCGTTCAAGGGAAGCTACTGAGAAGAGGTTGCCAATTTTGCCACAACCTGAGAGGCCATTCGGAGGGTTCAAGTACATATTACAATCAGTTCCAGGATTATGTTTGGTGTAGTGGTTAAGTGCGCGGACTCTAATTTGGGAGAACCGGGTTTGATTCCCCACTCCTCCACTTGCACCTGACTGGATGATCTTGGGCAAGCCATAGTTCTGATAAGAGCTGTTCTTGAAAAAGAGCAGTTTATGTCAAGAGCTCTCTCAGCCCCACCTACCTCACAGGGTGTCTGTTGTGGGGAGGGGAAGGGAAAGGAGTTTGTAAGCCGCTCTGAGACACCTTTGGGTAGTGAAGGGCGGGGTATAAATCCAATCTCTTCTTCTTTAAACAACATTCAGAATTTCATAATCAAGGAAGGGAATGGCATGGAGAGAGAGGGAAACAATCTATTTGCTCCTCTGCCATTTTCTTGCTGGGGGGGGGGACTACAAATTACTGTTACTTGAGGAAAGCTTTCAGGCATCTGTATCCCACCCCCACCCTATGGAAGTAAAAAGTAGCCTTAGGATTGACTTTTTCAAAGAGAGAACAGCAGCGTGTGTGTGTGTGTGTGTGTGAAAACTATTCCCTCTCTTCACATGCCACCCCTCTCCTCCTTGAGGAAACTGCATTTACTAAATTAATAATGGTGTTTCAAATAAACACGAGGTGGAAACTGAATGTGAAATTGATCCCTGAGGAGGGCCTTGTTGGCAGACCTAGACTGGAAGGCTTCATATGGGAGCACTTCTAAACTTACGTACACCTTCCCAAGGTCCTATTTGGCCCTGACTCTGACACTGCAATATCACGGGCATTTGGCTCAGCTGAACTGAAGAACCGAAGTGTATCAGAAATTCATTAAGTGTATGGATCTATCCTGACTTTTTTATTTTTAACAGTTGTTGAGTCTTTTCATTGTTTTCTAATAATGGCTTTTCACATTTTTTTTTCTCTTCTAGATGTGAAAATGGCATAGTTGTAGAAGAATGCAACCAAACCAGTGACACCATCTGTGGAAGAAAACGTAAGTGTCAAAACCTCTGAAATAACCTCAGATTATGATTACGGGGAAGAACTGCATTCAGATCTGTAGAAAGCTAAATTCATACACATAAAAACACCCTCTTCCAGCCGGCCATTCCAAACTTTTATCCTTGCTACCAGTTTACCATGGCCATGTGAACAAATGACGTGCTGAAAAATAACCCTTTGCTAGCCAATCCAAGACTCTCCTATGGCTGTGATTTTGATTGGCTGCCAGAAGTCAGCCCATTTAGGAGCATAACAGTTTCTTTGCTCGGATAGTGTCTCTAGCGATGGCCATCTGTGAACAACAGTGAATTCTAGGAATTATGCCTTGCACAAGAAATATTTCTCTCTTACGATCACAAAAAGAACACTGTTGAATCACATCTAGGGTCCATCTCATCCAGCTTCCTGTTTCTCACAGTGGCCAGTGAGGAAGGCAGGGTTTGGGGAGGGGAGAGGCCTCAGCCAGATACAATGCCAGAGAGCCTTTTTCTCCAGGGGGATGGATCTCTGAGAGCCAGCGTGGCATAGTAGTTAAGAATGGCAGACTCTAATCTGGAGAACTGGGTTTGATTCCCCACTCCTCCTCCACATGAACCCAGCTGGGTGACCTTGGGCTGGTCACAGTTCTCTCAGAACTCTCTCAGCCCCACCTACCTCATAAGGTGCCTGTTGTGGGAAGAGGAAGGGAAGGCGATTGTAAGTCATTTTGAGAATCCTTAAGGTAGAGAAAAGCAGGGTATAAAAGCCAACTCTTCTTTGCCATCATCTCTGTTGTCTGGAGTTCAGTTGTAATTCTGGGATATCTCCAGGTTCCACCTGGAGGTTGTCATCCTGAGGCCTGGCAGCACCTTCTGGGTGACTTGATACCACTGGATTTTGTATGACTCAACAAGGCCTGGCCGCTTGCTGCTGTTCAACAGCAGCTACCCTATGATAGCCAGTGTGGTGAAGCAGTTGGAGCTTCAGAGCAGGGTCTGGGAGACCCAGGTTCGGATCCCTGTCTTGCTGCAGAAGTTCATTTTGGACCAGTCACACACTTTCAGCCTAATCTACCTCACAGGGTTGTTGTGCAGATAAAAAGTAGGAAAGGAAAATAATATTAGCTGCTTTGGTCCCCACTTGGAGAAAGGTAGGGTATAAATGAGGTAAATATATAATAAATATAGCTGAAGATGGAAAGCAAATAAAAGGTAGGTTGGTGAATGACTGAGAAGGAGAAAATGGGGCAGGTAAAGGGAGAGGATATGGGCGTTGCTGGGGGGGAGAGGAAATAGTGTGTGGGGGAAATACAGGGAAAGTGAGGTCCCCCCCCAGTCCTTGAGAGTTCCCTATCATGCAAGTGGGCCTGGCCCAATGGCCAGCCCCGCACAACTGGGCGGTTTTCCTAGGTAGGGGCTGGGGGGGGGGGAGCTGAAGACAGAGGTGCAGGTAAATGTAGGTTGGCTGCAGTGCTCCCTCTAAGCTGTGGAGTCTTGTGAGCAAACATTCTACTTTGTGAGTGACTGGCATTAAAGCTGAGGGAGCAATTTGGCTGCTGCATAAATTAGTTTGCTCCGGAGCCATCCTTCCTAAGCGAAGACAAAAATGTGTGAGCTGGTGGCTAAAAAACTGTGAGCTAGCTCACACTAACTCAGCTTAGAGGGAACACTAGTTGGCTGTCGGGTGGGAAGGAGATAGGGCTGCCAACTCCAGGTTAGGAAATTCCTAGAGATTTGCGGGGTGGAGCCTGGGGAGTCTGGGGTTTGAGAAGGGGAGGGATCTTAGAGGGGTACAATGCCATGGACTCCACCCTCCGAAGCAGCCATTCCCTCCAAGGGCACCAGGGTTGCCAACCTATTGGTGGGGGCTGGAGATCATCTGGAATCACAGCTGCTCTCTAGATGCCAAGATCAGTTCCTCTGGAGAAAATGGCTGCTTTGGAGGGTGGCCTCTATGGCATTATGCCCTGTTGGGATTGCCCTCCCAAGGTTCCACCCCCCAAATCTCCAGGAATTCCCCAACTCAGAGCTGGCAGCCCTAAGGGGAACTGAGCTCCGTATTTGGGAGATCCACTGTGATTCCAAGAGATCTCCAGGTTGGCAGCCCTAGAAGGAGAGGAAAAGGGGGGGAGGCTGTGGGGGAAAGAGGAAATAGTGGGGGAGGGGGGAGGAGATGCCTCCTGCAAGTCCTCGAGGCTTTCCACTGGTTCGTTAATGATATTTCTCTGCCTAGCTTATAGAACTTTTCCTCTTAACAGAATATTTGCTATGGATAATTGGAGTTGTCATCCTACTTGTGCTCATTGTGGTAGCGGTCATCATAAGATGGAAATATCGTAAGTTTGTGTGTCTTTTCTTAAACTTTTCTCAACTCTTACATTCTAAACTCTAATGTTTTTTTTTTTAAAAAAAAAAAACCTCCTCCCTTCTCTTTCTCCATAATTATGCTTATAATGCCCATAACAATGTTTATGGACAAATGTTCTCAAAATCTAGGATTTGGCATTCAGAATTTCTGATTTTTGTCCCCTCCCAATGCTGCTCCACCCCATCCCTCAATGAGGTGGGGGAGGGAGGGGGTTTGCAGGCAGCCCCCCTTCAGTGGGGAGGTGTGTGTCAGTCCTGACACGGGGGGGGGAGGGGAGGGGAGAGGCTGCCAATGTCAGTGGGACGGGAGTGAGAGGCCTGGCAACCCGGCCCTCACTGTCCTCGTGTCTCTGGCCACAACACTGGGACAGGCACGACTAGGAAGTGGAGGCCTTCAGGAGCCCCATGGCTGAGTATTGGGAACTGGGGCGGGGGTTGCTGGGACGGCCAGGAAGGCATGAGGGACTTCCTCCTCAGTCCCTCCCCCTCCATCCTCCTCAGTTGCTGGCCAGCGTGTGTGGCTTTTCAGCGCAGATACCAGCAAGCCAGCTACAGCCCTCTTCCCTCCCAACAAGGGAGTCAGTCCCAAACAACTGTTTTAAAAGATATGTAATCTAATACAAATTTCTCATGGCTCCAAAGCAAGAAACCATACACGGCCTTGAAAAGAATCTAGTGGAGGAGGACGAATTCTGCCTCGTACATTTCAAAACTTGCCACAATGCAAAGCCTTAAAGGTGACAGCTCCACAGCTTGGGCAGTGATGGCACATATTTCCCATATTGGCAACTCTTGGGTCACTTTATATGGACCCATGGCCATATACACGCCCCTCAATCTGGCAGCTGGAGGGAGGTGACTTATTGTGGGTATTAAATCATATGGTCTCTCTTCTTGCAGGGCACAAAGGAAACTGGATGCCAAAGAAACAAATCAACGATGAACAGAGACCAGTGGTGTGTATCACTTCTCATATGAATGCAATTCACATCACATAATCAAGGGAAATAATGGGAAAATAAATGGGAGAGAATTGTCACTGCTAGACTTTGACATTTTGCTGTTTCGGATAACTGTGCAGTGACAATAAAGTAGGCGTAGCTGCATCAGTTTAGTCACTGCCAGATTACACTTTTGGATTGCAAAGGGGTAGTCGCGTTAGTTCATCATCACAAAATAAAACGAATGTTCAGTGTCCACTTAAAGACTAACAACACTGATATCAGTACAAGTTTTTGGACTCATGGCTCATTAGTCATTACAAGATTCCAATCCCTGAGTACATAGTATGTTCAGAACACATCCCAGCTAGCCACAGAGCAGCCACCAGATTTGTCAACTGCATCCACAGTGAGGTCCCCCTCACACACTGAAACCTGCTCTGATGAAAAGATGAAGCCGCTTGATCAATCACCTATTTTGGCCAGCTGTTGACACATCAATGGTGGTGTTGTTTTTTTAATTCTCATGCAAGTTGAGAGAGAATGCTTCCCTCTAAGCTGTGGAGTCTTGTGAGCAAAAATTCAACTTTTTGAGTTACTGGCATTAAAGTTATGAGCGAGCGATTTGGCTACTGCATACATTAGTTTGCTCTGGAGCCATCCTTCCTGAGCTAAGACAAAAATCTGTGAGCTGGAGGCTAAAAAACTGAGCTAGCTCACACTAACTCAGCTTAGAGGGAACCCTACACTTCCTTGTGGCACCAGATCACATATACCCTTTCAGTCTCAGGGTCAGTTTTGTGCTCATATGAATTACTCAGAGTGTGTAAATATTTATTTTGTTCCAGGATGATGTCAGAAAACAAGGCACATGATCTTCCACACTGCAGAGGAGATGAGTGAAATAGGATAGAAAGATGACGCTTTTGATGGCAGCTTAATGTTGCTTAGTTTCACAGTGTCATAGAAAGAAATTAATAGTGAGAAACAAGACTAGGTGGAATGTTTTTGCTTAATCAGTATTTCACTATCTTTCTTAGGAACTGAAGCCTCTCATTTACCCAGGTAAAGAAAAAAAAAATCAGTGTTCAAGTATTTGTGTGCATTTCTGTCTGTTACGGCCAAATTACAAGTTTCACAGTAGATGCAGCCTGTGGTCTCCTAATGTTTATTTTAATGTAAAAACTAACATAAAAGTTTGCTATCTATCTTGACCAGTACAGTGGGGGTGGGGGGGGAGATGTCTGTAAAACCTCTTTCCCAGCTGGCCATTTTCCATTCAAATGTGTTCCTGTCTTTTCCTGGAAAACTCCTTCTGTGCTCCGAGAGCCAAGATGGAAGCATGAAAAGTTGCTGAATGAACCTTTTTCAAGTGGAAGCTACACTCTTTGTTCGTAAATGAGGGACCAATTCAAACATATTTTTTCAGTTATATGTTAATCCTCTCACAAGATTCTGTCAGCTCAATGTTTTAATTTGTGTAGTTTAGAAAGCTCACCCTGTGCAGGTTATTACCTCAGAGAACAGACTTCTCTCTGAGACACTGAAGTGGTTAAGACGCTGAACTGCAGGCTGTGGAAGGTCGGTAGTTCAGCAGTTCGAGAACCGGGTTGCCGCATGATGGAGTGAGCTCCCGTCTCTAGTTCCAGCTCCTGCCAACCTAGCAGTTCGAAAGCAAGAAATTGCAAGTAGATAAATAGGTACCACTTCGGTGGGAAGGTAACAGCGTTCTGTGCACCTTGGTGTTTAGTCATGCCGGCCACATGACCACGGAAACGTCTTCGGACAGCGCTGGCTCTTCAGCTTTGAAACGGAGATGAGCATCGCAACCCTAGAGTCGGATTCAACTGGCTTTCAAGCAAGGGAACCTTTACCTTTTTATTATCACTTTATTATGAGGAGGCAGCACTTTTATGCCACTGTGCTCCCTCCACGTAAAATCTCAGGTGCGACATTCACATGACAAGACTGTACGTTCGTATCATCTTTTGGAATAACTGGTTTCTCTTCAGATCAACTAAGTCTTTTGCCTTTTGTACATGGGGTTGCCGAGCCAAGACCGTGAGGGCGGTTTTCTGTACCTTTGCACAAAAGGAAGAGAAGGCAGCAGGGTGCAGTTTCTCCCATCACAGCAAGACTGTGATAGGGAGAAATACAACAGGCAACATTCTCCCACCACCCCCACTGTGCAGTCCCTTAAAGTTGTGGAATCTTCTTTGCTCATCTGGCCATGGGCCTGGTGTAAAGAATGGTAAAACCAACAGCATACTGAACTGGTTCCAAACAGTCCTGGCGGGATGGTTGTGCCGATTCTACTTTCCCACTGCAGCCCTCTATTCTATCCTGCACTGTTCCCAAAGTTCCCTCAGGAGTGGCTTTTCAGGGAGTGCAGGGGTCTGCAGCAAGAAAAGGGGAAGGTACAGCTTTTAGTCCTTGATCCCAGCCCCTGGCAAATTCTCTGCCTACTAACATCAGGGCCCTGCAAGGATCTATTACAATTCTGCAGGGCCTGCAAGGCAGAGATGTTCCACCAAGCATACAGATGTGGACAGCAACGGTTTTTAACGGTTTTAAGGGCTAATAGTATTAACAACGATCTGCCTTGCAAACTGCTTCTGCTCCCCTCCCCCCATTGTTAACTGTTAATTTTTAATTACAAATGGGAGGGGCTAGAACTATATTAAGGCACCATGTTGGAGTCAAGGTTAAGTTTAATTAGATCTGTATTTTAGACAATTTATTCTGATTTATATGTTTTTATAGTTGTGTTGTGAACTGTCCTGAGCCCGCTTGTGGGGAGGGCAGTATAAAAGTCTCATAAAAGATAAATGAAATTATTTTCTCTGGTGGTCCAGGAGTGGGGCAGTCCACCTGTAGTGTATTCAAAGCTGCCTTGAATGCATGATATGTTGTGAAACATCTAATTGAAGTGTAATGTAAAGCTTCGTCCTGGGCTAGGATCCAAATCCATCCAATCGTGTTACTAGCCCAGGAAGCACCTAACCAATCACTTTCAAGTAAGCTCCCGGAGCAGGAACATCCGTGATTGGTCCTTATGTGAACAACCTTATTGGTTGGTATTTGTACAGTGGGTGTGGCTCCATTAGCTGGGAATGTTTAAAAGTAGGACAGCTGCAATGTAAAGGCTGTTCTGGCTATCAGATGTTGATTCGTGTTGGAGTTGTGTTCGAATTGAAGAATAAAGTTGTGTTCTTGCTGAATCACTGTCCAACTGCTTTGTTAAGTGAGTGACTTAACACCTCCAGACTCCTTACTCCTGGGTAACAGCTCCTCTCCTCCATAAACGGGGCCGGCAAACACTTTTGGTCATGGAGGGGAGGGGCTTGTGGTCCTGCATCCCAGTTTTTTCCGGCCCTGCCTTCTGAGCAGGAAGCTGCAGACTGTACTCTGTGGAGCACACTGGTCACAGGAAAATAATTTGAAGAAAAGAAGAAAAGGGGGAAGGAGCAGATAGAGGACCTTTTTAGCCTGTTCTCCGCCCCTCCCCTCCCCTCCTGTCGATCGGCCGCTGGAGCGGCTTGCAGGCTTTGGCGGATGCGGATCTGGGAGATCCCTGGGGAACAGCGCCGCCGCAACATCTCCCGCGCCTAGCTTCAAACCCGAGGGGACTGGTTAAGTTTTTTCCTGGAGGCTGCAGGTAGCAGAGCGCTCCAGAGGGTGATGGTAGAGGCTCTGTCGTGCCCGAAGGCAGAAACGCGGCGCTGCTGCAGAGTCCTAGAAAGACGATCGGTGTCCTTCTGTTTTTCCCCGCGCTGCAGAGAACGTCGGGGGAAGCAGGAAGGAGGAACCGGTCGCTTCAGAACGCGGTAAGATCGTTCCTGGGGGCAGGGGAACTACAGGAGGACAGCGTTTTTAACACCCCCTTGTTCCCCTCCCTCTCTTTGCCTGGTTCCCCTCATCCCCATTGCAGCTTACTATTGGGAGAGACCTGTGGAGTCAGGAGAATGTGAGTTCGGGGGGGGGGGTCTGAGATGTAACCAATCTCTGTGAAGAACCCCCCCCTCTGTTGGTGCTTCATATGTTTTTTAAGGGGGTCTTTCTTTTTGGTTGGGACTGGATTCTATGTCCTCCCTCCCACTCCCCCCCCCGACCAAGGAAATCTTTTCCTAGGGACTAGCACGTTCAGAGGGAAAGGGAAAGCACCCTTCTTGTGGGGACTTAATAATGGCGGGAAACGGCCATTTTGAGTGATCCTGCCCACTTTCACTTTCAGATCTTTCACAAAATGGCTGAAAAGGCAGGGACGTCTTCGGGCCAGGGATTGCAGGAGGCCACTTGCACATTTGATCTGGCTGATTCTCTTAAGTCCACAGCCTCTTACACTGGAACCTCTGCTGGGGATGATTCCCAAGCCAATCTACTATCTTGGATCAAACTAGAGATGAAAAAAGAATTTAGAGCCTTGTGGCAAGAATCCCAGAGTGCGGCTAGTGCAGCAGAGGGATCTTCTGTGAGCATATTAGGAAACAAAAGACACCTGTCCAGTGATCTGGAGGAGTCTATTCCTAATAAAAGCAGAAAAAAGGATACTAAAACAAATAGACAGCATAGTCCTCTGATGAGTGGCCATGATTTTGATTCTGATTCTGCAGTCTCTGAGTCTCCTAAAGAAGAGGGTGAGCTTTCAGATGAGGAAGAACAGGCTGTCCCTGTAGTACAGTCTAGGCTTTCCCTCAAGAGCTTTATAGTAAACTCCTGCCTAAGGTTATTAGAACTGTGGAGTTATCCTACACACCAAAAGAACAGGAAGAAGAGGATTCAGAGTTTCCTGTAGGTTCTGATAAAACCATGCCTAAGACTCATCTTAAACCTACAGGAGTACCTTTACCAGCAGCATTCTATAAAGTGATGAAGGCAGAGTGGGAACATCCTTCCAAGCCCAATGCTTCTGCACCTGTGTTTGGAAAGCTTTATTCCCTCATTCCAGAGGCATCAAAGAAGCCCAGACTTCCAGCAGTGGATGATCCTATTAACAGTCTGGTATCCACATCAGTACTTCCCGTGGGAGCGGATGGTCTTCCTAAGGACAACACTGACAAGCGCATTGAGCAAGCACTGAGGAGAGATTTTGAAGCGTCTGCAAATGCTCTCAGAGCCTCAGTTACAGGATCCCTATTTGCAAGGGTGGCCTACGCATGGGCCTCAGACCTGGCCAAGGCAGATAGTGGCATACCGAAGGAACTTAAAGATGAACTAAAAAAGATTGCACTAGCCACGGCCTTTGTGGCGGATGCCACCCTTGATGCCGTCCAACAATCAGCTAGAGGTATTGCATGCAGCATCACAGCTAGGCGCAATACTTGGCTACGGAATTGGGACGTAG